AACCAGACTAGAAGATAAATATGCTAAGACGCGAGAAATCGTGCTATACAATTAAAGATGAATCATGCGTCGTGCATCGTATAGTAGTAATGACGAGGAATTACGTAAAAAGATACGTTCAGCGTCCGTAGAACTTGACGCTAGTAAGCAGCATTGAGTTAACGCCCTTGCGGACCCTTTTCACGTCAATTTTCACACATAAAGACCCTTTTTTTACAAACAATAAATTATACAGAACGAACAAATGTCTGAAGACATGACATTGGTATATCCAAAAAATATTTATTTTAGAAAAAAAATATATTGAAAATAAAATGTACATGATTTGGCGGAAGAAATTTAGAAAAATTTTGATCTAATTTTTTTCTTTTTTCTTTTAGGTTGCAAAAAAACGTATTCGTTTCCTTCTCAACATGTCTAACGAAGGTAGCAAGGGACCTCCGAGCACTATAACGCTCGCTTTCTCAACACTAACGCATTTCCTGCTTTTGGCTCCTGTAATATACATCCTGGTACTTGCCGTTCCCTTCGGGATGCACAGCCTCTTCGGATGGCATCCGGTTTGCATGTCTATCGGGGTAAGTAAAGAACATATGACACTAAGGAATTAGACTTTCAAATACGAAATACTGTTTTTTAAAATAAGAAACTTTGCAGTCTTAAATTAGAAGTGTCTTATAACATGCAAATTGTCTGATTTAATAATATTTAATGTTGACAATAGTGTAAATATGTAAATTTGAAAAAAGATGCGATTAATAGTTGTATATAATTAAATATTTAAATTTCTTTAATATATCAACTTCTTGAATTTAAAAAGTCTTAACTATATTATGTAAAGTGTTTTTTATCGCGAAAGTTATGCTACGATATAATCATTTCCGACATTTCATATTTTTTATCCCGTGGCGAAGGTCGGCCTTCTGATCACGGAAGCTGTCTTCAGTGTCTCCGGTGAAGCGTACATTGCTTCGAAATTACCCAGGCGTACGAGAGTGACGATGCACTGGATTTTGCACACGATAGGCCTGATTGTAATCGGGATCGGCTTCATTATCATCATCGTCAACAAGATCAAGCAGCACAGAAACCATTTCGCCACAACTCACTCGCAACTGGGTTTAGTGACGATTATACTAACCGTCCTCACCGCCGCTTTTGGAATCCTGGCGAACAATACCGTGTGGGTATATCCACGTGTGAGACCGGTGTTAATTAAAGTCGCCCACGCTTGCGGCGGCATCGGCATAATCACTCTTTTACTGGCTACTCTCATCAATGGAACCTACTCTGATTGGTGGTATCATGGTGGTGGAACCGTCACCGGAAGAAATCTGGTCTTCGCATCGTTATTTTTCGCGGGTTTATTGATACTCGTGAAACCAATTCTCGGCGCTATTTCAAGATGCAGGGTCGTGTTCGGGCCGCCCTCGAGCGATTCGTAAAGCTTCGCTAATGTTTTCGACAATGTCTACATTGTATTAAGATGTAATTCAGATGCGAGGGTTGTCTCAAAAGTAAGACACTTGATCGATCGAATGATAATATATTAGCCTTGTAATATTATTTTCACTTAAAAATAACAATATAATATAATAAATATAAATAAATTCAAGTGTCTCACTTTTGACGCAACTTTTGTGGAATACTCAACGGAGTGGTAAAAAGCCAAAGATAGTAACACTAATTCTTCTGTTTGGATGTTACGTGTTATCCATTAGGAATGTTGTTAATAATGTAAATTAATAAAAAAGAAAGTGTTTTACCTTATCGGAAATTAACCACGGCGGGAACTCGAGGCAGCGCATTGTTAATTATACACATTATATACATTTATTATGCATTTAATAGCGCATTACAAATTTACACATACGTCTACATGCGCATATGTACATTTGTAGATGTGTTTGCAATATATTTCTTAAAACGCCATGTACATACATAATAACACAACGTATTTATATATCTCTGATATTTTTATACTGTTATATAATTATATATATAATTATATGTTATTCATATACTTTTATTTACACGTTAACACACAATAATTACTCTAAGTTGCACTATCGTTAGTAACTTTCGCAGGTCCAGTCCCTTCTTTCTCTGATTTCCATAAAAGATCTAAGATTATGCAACAATATTGTAAACACACGCACATATATCTTTGTTTACTATTCAGAACATACATACGATTAAGTCTTTCTCTATGTAAGTTTCTCCTAATTCTGTGCACATTCATTCAAGGCATTATTGTGTCTTCATTGTATGCCGTTCCGCATACTCAACCACATTCTACATTAAAACATCAGTACTTTGGTTCTACAATAAAATGGCTTGTTTACAGAAAATATTTTTTATCCCGATGACAATCGCGTCGATAATCAGTCAATATCCGTACGCTCGAAGAAACACATTTCCTTCGCGCGAAACCACCCTGAATTCAATGATCTTAAATAAAAGCTCATTTTTTTTCTACTACTTTCCCTATTACAACGAAAAGGAGCTCCTTTCAAAAGAAAGCTTCTTTTCCCTATTATACTTTTACGCATTAGGACACATTATTTTGTACTGTTCGCTCTACTGACTGCTCGCAGTGACGTTGGAACTGTAACAACATGCGATAATGACACATCAAATAATTAACGCAATTATAATGAGAAACAGATCTTACTCTATTTATTTTAGTTTGTATTCTTTTTTTAATTTTTTGCAAAGAAAGCGTATAATGTTGGTCGAAATATAAGGTGCAGAATATTGGATATTTTTTTTAGTACACAATTTATTCCAGGAGTATCTAATATTGAATTTGTGTGTATTTATGTATGCAATGTTATTGTACTACCGCGATGTTATTACTGTTTACGCGATGTGTCACTGCTCTTAATCCTACTTATTATTAGGACAGTCAACCGCTTGACTTGGCCGGTATGCACCAATAACTAACATTATGTTAATTATCATTACTTTCACGACGACTATATACTTTTACAATAAAATTTACAATTATTGTGAAAGGCTGTGCCACATGTATTACATAACTGTTAAATAATCTAGGAACATTAAAATTATTGAACATTTAACTGTCTTCGTGAAATTGGCCGAAGAAAAAGCACGTACAGTCATAGATCTTCTAACGGCACTTTCATAATATAACATTGCCTTTCATCAATTCCGTGATCTCAAAAAGCGGCTTATCAAAAATGCATTTTCCTTATCTTTCTTCTCGCTTCCAGGTACATTCACAACGACTTAGATAAAATTGTTTCGAATTTTTCAATTGTAGGTTTTTTAGTTATTAAAATTCTCTTCTGCCAGTAAAATTGGCTAGCAAAATTTGATTTTGAGTTGTTAACAAAAGTTTTTGATTTGCGACTCATTCGCTATTGATTTAAGCGTTAAGCAGTTTATAATCTGCTTATTATTAGTTTGTATTAAAACCCGAGTGAGGTAGGAATCTTGACATGCCCGATATTTTGATACAATAGGTATTTTAATCACAGTGAAAATTTGTAAGATTTGATTTTTATCAGATGACGTATTGTGGTAAAAGGCTGAATAGTAAAAATTATTTCGAATCAAGATATATGCTTCGGATTGACATATTGATATTCATGTTCTCGTATGCAAACTTTTCCAGAATTAAGGCCACGCTCTTTAATTATGAACTTTTTGACTTGTCCGGAGTCAATTTTCCCTTGAAAAAATTGTCAAGGCATCAGTAGTTTTTTTTTTATAATTGTGATTAAATTGTGTGAATAGGTTGAGGTATAATTTTTTGCTAGATTATGACTTAATATTATTCGAGAAATATGTCACATAAAAATAAAGAATTGTAATTTGTTCCTGTTATTTATTACCACAGAGTTGCACAACTCATTGAGTTTGAACGACTTTGCCCCCGCCATTTTTACGGTCGCTTCAATATCGGCATACACATACCGTTGTACAGCTCTGTATCACTACGTACTCGTCAATAACTCTATATACTATCTTCTCTCACAAATTCGCTAGTATAATGTCTCATGATTTTCCTTGTCTACTTTTCCGCTTGCTATCATTTTTTCGCGCATCTAACATATCTATTCCCTGAAAGTCTTTGCACATTAAAAAGACACGTGTAATACTGAAAACTTTCGACGATTCATCTACTATGAGAGATTGGTATACATACATTTATTTTGATTTTTTTTTGTCTTTACACTGCCCACTTCTATCTTTATTAACGTCTTCTTCCTATTTATTTGCTAAGTGTTTGATAAATGCGTTCTCGCACGTAATCAACTGTATATATAATCTCTATTTCTACTTTTTTTTTACAATAAAGGTAATCAACATTTTTCAAAAATAAATATCCTTCTAAACAATCATTGACACCCAGCATATCATACATATTAAAGAATTGTTTCTAAAAAATACTAATTCTTTTTAATTTCTTTCAAACCACCGACGGTTTTAAGTACTTTGCAACACTCTGGTTCTTAATTAAGTTTAATACTAATTGGTTTTAAGAGTTTCTTATTATCAATCAGAGAATTACTCGGTTAATATGAAAAAAACGTAATATTATAAATTTAATAAATTATTACAAAAATATTGCTATCTGTATTTATTATACAAAAAAAAAGAATTTGTAAGTATTAATACCCTACACAATTAATCAAAACCTATTTCTTCCTTCTTTCGAACA